TGTATGTGTCCTGACTGCTAGACCAGTGAAAAACGTTTGAGAAAATAAACAATTTTGATAAAGAAGGTTTATGTAAAGATTTTTTTTATGTAAACTAAATTGTAAAATCTTCGGCCCTGTTCAAAACATTACACTAATAGAGAATTAAATCATAAGGAACTGGAATTGTATGGAGAGAAGAGAGGTCAATAGAGAACTAAGAAACATGAAAGAAATAAAAGATATTAGATCAATAGGTAAATCCAAAAACATGAGAGGATAAAAGAAAAGATCTCAAAGAGGTAGAAAGAGGAAATTAAAAAGAAAATTTTGGGACAGAAAGGAGTGGAAGAATATTGAAATTGCCCTCAGTAGCCGTAAAAGTTCTTTAAAAAAAACGGAGGTAACATTTTCCAGGTATGACCGAGACATCTTTCTCGTTGTTTCGTTTAATTTAAACTACTTTACAGCGTTTTAAGCAAGATCCGTGTTCAGTATTGCACTGTGGCGTACATCTGGGGTGATGTGGGTGTTCCAAGAAGCATTAGGAATAAAATTTAAAGTAAAAATTTAGTTTTAAACAACAAATTTAAAATTACATTTTATTAATGAATAATTGAACAACGATCAATTATTTCATATCTTATTATAATAAAAAAGTTGCCATCTTTATTTTTATTTTAATAGAAAATGAAATAAAAGCACTTGGACTTTCCCATAATTCTTTATTTGTTTTTATCCTTAATAGTTGTTATCATTACCTTTAAGTCTTCAGATTTACGTAGAATTACTGATATGAATGATTTCTCGTAAAATGGGAGTCATTTAACTATCGTAAGAATATTATCTTTTTCCACCTCTTCAACATACAGTACATATTTTTCAGTCTAATTTCGATGACAACTATGATTAATAGGCAATATTACTGATTGTGACATCGTCACAATGCCGGGATGCAATTTTTCATTATATTTTAATTTAAAAAATCACGTGATTTCCATTCCAGACAGGAAGTTAGGGCCTCTAAGCATTACATATCTAATCTCGATTTTTATCTATCTAACTCCGTTTTCGTTATTAAGGAAGGAAAGAGGGGCAGACAAACGACAGTGGATCTATAGACCTACATTAAGTTATTTCAAATTGTAGACCTGTAGATTCCTACTGTCACACACACACACACAAATATTTATCTCAAAGAATTTCATTAAAAAAATAACTTTTATATTTTAAACCTTGAGTTGAGAGTTAGAGAAATAACTTGGAAGCTTTTTGAGGTACAGTCCCATATCTCCCGAATATCTCTTCGATTTTCATGAAAATTTCTAGAAACATTTCATCCTAATAAACCTCCCTGCAAAATTTCAAGAATTTTCGACAAAAGGTATAGGAGTTATTAAGCTTTAAAGTAAGTGAAAAAAATCATGCCTCCCAGACACACTAACATCCATATATAGGCCTATATATATAGGAAGACCCCAACTCTTTATTTTTTCAATTCTCGATATCTCAAGATCCGTGTCAAAAATGTAAAAATCTTGGAGGTCATTTTTTGGCCGATTGCCATACTATTTCTCTATTTTACAGCCGGAAAAGTAAAAATGAATCCTCGGTTATCAATCGTTTATTTATAGGGGAAATCCTTTTACTTTGGAATACCTTGTACGGGACAAGCTCGTCATTTGAAAAATAATACATTGAGAAGTAGTAAGTAGCGATATCTAGTAGCTATTTCATTACAACATTTAGAATGCATGACGTAAAGTCGGCCATTTTGACTCGTTTCACCGCTGTGACACGTCGTGTGATTTTTATAGGTGTTTGTTTTTTTTGCAATCCATTTGTATCTTGGTTTTAATCGAAATATTTTGAGGTGAGTAATTTAATTAAGGTGCAGTTAGTTGATAACTACATTCGTAACCACTTATTATAATAAATAACATTGGATTTCTGTAATTCAAAAATTATAACCATACTTTGTTATAAACAAGAGAAAATTGTATTTTGGGACAATGAATTTTTTGTACCTTGGGACTGTCCGAAAGTACAAGGCATTGCTTTTCTCAACTATATATTTAATATTATTTTGTTTACTTTTGTTATTATGTTTCTGTTGGCCGCGAAGAAAAAAATGAAGTGAATAAAAATGCTAAATCTGTTAAAAAGCGAGTTTTTAAGGAGAAAAAAGTTGAAATCAGTAGCTCTGAGGATGAAACTTCTGTGATCTTAGAGAGTGACGATTCGTGTGATGAAGTTCAAGAGGAAAATAATTGTGTGGGATGCGGTGAAAATTATTTCACTACTTCGAGCACAGAAGACTGGATTCAATGCGTTACCTTCGTGAGTGCACGAAGATTGCACCTTTTTGAAAATTACTGTCATAAATGCGGTATTAATTCTAAAAAAATTAGTAAGTAGTAATGTTTGTGCCTTATATTTGTAATGATTATTGTTTTTCTTAATACAAAAATGAGATTATCTTTGGTTTTCAATCATTTAAATGCCTTCTTCAGAACATTTAAGCTTTATACTTACCTGCATTTCCAGCATATGAAACATTTTTGTTAACTGATAGAGCTAATATTGTTATAAAGGAAAAGACGTGGATAAACTATCTTTTTTTCATCTGACCGAAGTTAAGATTTACAAAAACGTTAGGATTGGTTCGTGTCCCTAGGTACAAACATTGGTGTCCCGAGGTACAATCATAGATTGCACCTCGGGACAAATATCTGTAAGTAATTATTTGACATTTTCTCATAAATAAAATGGCATAGGGTCACGTGTTGCATCATAAATAGTGATGTTATTAATTACTAATAGAAATATTCAACAGTCATAGCTAAAGATCAATTAGAACTTAAATTATGAAGGTTTAAAGAAAAGTGTGCCAAAGTAGAAGGATCTCCCCTACTACGTGACTGTGGATTGTTCTAGAAGAAAGATCATAATTCGAATATCGAGTTTGTTATGGAAGTTTTCTTCTAGATGTATCGGGAATTTTCTAGAACATTTGTCTGGCAGGTATTTAAGAGACCCTCGTTTGTCGGCAGCGATAGGTAAGAGACACTTTAAGTTTTCTTCTTTCTGATCGTATTTTTCAGATCATTCTTCCAGATCACTCAGAGCAAAATGTTAGTTACGCCGCTGGTATCGTAGAATTCTTGCTGAGTCTAGTTATTCTGCGATAAGGTCATAAAATTATTATAATTAGGCTGCATTAATAATATTATTATTATTATTAGGCTACAATTTGAAAAAGTTGTAGACCTATAAATTTCTACTATTATCCGTCTGTCTTAAAGATAGATAGATAGATGAAAGAGTTAGATAGATGAAGATTGAGACAAGACTTGCAAAGACTAGGAGCAGGAGGCTCCGATTAACTATATAAGAACTTCCGGTTTGCAATGAAAGTCATGTTATTTCAATTCAAATTTTTCTGTGAAAGCAGTTAAATGACCGGCACAACTCGGTTACTAAAGAAAAAGTATTATGTACTGTACAGTACACTGCTAATTTGAAGGTGGACAGCATATATTTTAAATTAAATAAATTAAAAAATATGATTAATTAAAACTTGCAGCCCAGCATTGTGACGATATCACCATAAAAAGTTGCTCGTTTTATCCTAAAATTGTAGCAAAATAGACTGATAATTATATTATTCACCGTGTTTTAGACACGATTAGTTTAACTCACAAACTCAGCATACTGTTCAAAGACACTCAGAATATTTCTTAGTTTTGCCCTCCTAGCCAATTAGATTTTTTATTTAGCATTCTGCATTACTGAACATGACTCAGTTTGACTGAACTGGTTGTATTCATACTACAACTGATAAACTAATTTAGCGACTTTTTTAATTCACTCTGCCCTCTGGGCACTACGAGTGTCTTTTTAGCAACTCATGATAGGTTCGTCCAGACACACAATGGGGGGACAAGGTAGTGAGGGATGGAGTCTGACAAATCCGGACGGAGCATTATTGAAAAATTCCTGGGGTTTTTAGACACGTTATAGACCAATATTATTCTTTGAGACGCATTTCGTCTCAAAACCTGCAAGATTTAAAACAAATTACTTTAGTTTAATATTACCAATTTTAGCTTAAGATTTCAGAATCTATCTTAGCTGTCTTTGCAACCTTCATAGTCGATGTCATAGAGTTGAAATTTAAATCCAATGGAAACAAGTGACGAAACACCTTATAGTTATTTACATCATTTATTACCATAATATTTAGACTGGATTCTTATTTTATCATAAAATCAAATATACCATAAGCTATTGTTGAATGATTTTCGTCACAAAACTTATAAATATTTATTTCGACTTTTAACTTTCCATTTTCTAAAAAATCTTATGTGAAAATTTCATATATAAATTATATATGTAATTTTGATGTTTGATGCAGGAGTAAATTATATATTTAATCAGGAAAATGATATGTATAATTTTAAAAATTATTATATTGCATTATAAATAAATTATACTGCATTATGAATTTAAAAATTTAATGTTATTTAAAAATAAATATTTTCTTAACTGATTACTATTAGCTTAAAATATCTCTGAATGAAGCAAAAGTCAATATTTAGTCATTTATGTTCATAGATTATCAGGAAACAAATTCATTATACAATTTGTTTTGTCAAAAAGTTAATAAATATACAAATTCTATTACAACTCAATTATATAATATCTTCTAAAAATTTACTTTTATTTTTAATTTTTTATATTTTTCTGAATTTCCTTAAAAACGTTTATTGACTGCATTTAAAATCAGCATATATAATGATAAGGTTAAAATCAATTTTAAGATCACTGAAGGAATATACATTATTTGACGTCATTTTCTTGTTAAAAGGATTTTAAATGTATAGAACGTTTCAAAAACTTTGAATTCTGACAAGATTCTTTTGTGTAGATTATTAATTGAAGGTTCAAGGTCTTTTAAGGTTCTTTATTACGTAGAAACAGCAAGTGTGTCAATATAAAAGTTTCTGCATTGCACTCAACAAAATTGAATAACTTTCGCAAATAAATAGCTTGACAATTATTTAAAAATTTTTCCTTAACCTTTGACTGAATATAAACAATTTATTATTTTTTTTTCAATCCTTTTGATCAAAGTATATTACGAGTACAAAGTAGGAAATTATTAACAAAAATATTTTATTTGTTATACCAATTATTTAACGATCTTAGAAACCAGAAGATATACACACAGAAAATCGCCATCAAACTATTTGGTGAGTATTGTATTCTTTGCTTCAGCTATGAGTTTATCTACCAATTTATTTATTATGAAAACACTTTAACGGAGTTCCAGAAAATGGATTTTTAAATTATTTTCATAAACTTGGAGTTAAAAAAATAGTTTTAAGTTTAAAATATGTTTTGAAGTTATTTGAGTTAATTTATATTAAAAAGTAAGACAAAATTACTGCGAAGAGAAATTTCTCATAGAAAAATAAACTTTTATTTAGTTTAATTATTTATTTTAAATTTATTTTGGAATATCTTTTGTATCATATTAATTACAAGTATTAATAACTTGTGTCAGAGGGATAATAACAATAATAAGACGATAGAGAAAAACAACTTTATAACTGTTGGAGATAAACTTCATTATCGGAAAAATCGGAAATGAAAGTGATTTCTCTTACAGAATTTTATCCAGGAAATTATGTAAACCATTAAGATCTTAAAACTAAATATTCTATACATTGTTTTTCTGCGTTATGTAAATATGTATATATGTTTTACGTTTATATTTGTAATTCGAAACTTTAAAAGATATCACTTTTTAAATCTAGAATATACTTTACATAATTATTTTTTAAATAATTTAAAGAAAATATTTACTATACAGTCTTGATAAGCATACTTTACAGAAAAATAGAAAAACATTCTGAAATATTTCAAATTTGATCTGTAGACATTGTAAAATATACTAACTAAAATGCATTTTATTTAAATTAAAATAATGAAAGGAAATTCGCATGAATCACTTATAAAATTTACCAACATAATTATTTTCTATGTAAATGTAAATGATATAGCTAATTAAAAATATGATACACAATAGATAAGATTTATTGTTTTAAATTCTTTCTTTCTATAAAAAGTAACTTTTAAATTTATTTTTTATNAGTCCTTTCATTTTTTTTTTCATCTTATTCATAAATTTTTATCTCTTAAATTTTATTTATAAATCATCAGAATTAGAACTGTAGAAATCAAGTTATATAAATATATCCTCAAGAAAATCTTCTAAATATTATAAAACAATATAATTTTACAATTTGAAATTATACACTTCATGATAAAATATGACAATAATAAGCTAAAATAATCAAAGTCAATTTGATTTTCATTTTAATACAGTATTTGTTGTTGTAACTTTTGATCCGAAGAGCGTCAGGCATATCTGCCAGTATTCCATATTTATAAATGATAATATATTAGAAATTAAAGTTTTATAATAAATGTTTCAATATGTTATTTACCGAACATTATTTATAAAGTAAACACGAAACTTATATGCTATATAACATATTCAGTATTTCTCATTTTAGAAAATTTCAAAATTTATGCAATTAATTAGTCATTCTCAAATTTAATCATTGTTTTTTTTATTCTTTTATTCAACAACCTGTTTGTTAGGTAATTTCAAGGACATAAGAAATATATAGAAACACATAATTTCTGAAAATATTGTTTCGGATGTGATATGCTTTCGGCCAGAGTGATCATTTGAATGAAAATATTTTATTTTTGAATTAGAAAACTCATTACTAGTATTATTTCAGATAATTTCTATTCCCGACTTTCGATAGAACCTCAGAAAACTTTCTTAAATACAAAGAAAAATTATCTTTATCAGTTTATTGGCATACGCATTGGACATCATACTTCAGGTAAGGAACTTCAAAAAATTTTTATGTAAATCCATGATTTCATGAAACGAAACAGCAAACAAATAAAATAAAAATCATACGAAATATTTATTCAAATTATTTGTTTAAAATAGGTTTAATAAATATATATGATTTAACCTTTCGTAAATAATTAAACATAAGTATGTTTCTAACATCTGTTCTAAAACTTTTTTTTTATAAATAATTTGATACAGCTTACATAAATTAAATATTAAATAAAATGCCAAAAATCCATTTCTTGTTAAACAGTTTAATTATTACAATATATAATATGTAAGGTCTATATTTTAATATACATTGTGTGCAATATATTGTGCCAGAGATGGTGAAACTTTTTGAGTTGGAGTGCCGTACTGTGAGCATAATTATTTTTTAAATGTTTACGGCTGCTGAAGTTTGGATTTTAATTAAATAACGACATTTAAAGAGATGAATAAATGTGCTTTAATTAGAATAAATATAAAGAAAATGACCGAGAAAAAGATGATCAGATGTTAAATCAAAAGGACGACTGAAAAAAGAGGCGATAAATCGAAATTGTATGATACGCTTCGTGCCAGATGATTTCTCCCAACATGTTACTTCTGACATGCGTGCCATAGGTTTGCCATTCCTGGGGGCGTATTCTGGTCATCATCTCTCGTCTCTAAGAGACAGTGTCTGCGACACAAGTCGGTCGCTGATTGGCTAATCATTTTACCTCTCGAGAGTTCATCGCGTCTCTCCAAACGCGATTCTGGACGGTTTTTTCTCTCGAAGATCCTCTCGTCTCCCAGAGACGAGCGGATAGTCTTCTTTCGACCGGTCTTTCATCTGTAGCATCGATTTCTTTATATCCAATATAGACGATGGACGCTACTTGCTTTATACAACCGTATTAGGAACATTCTCTATCTCAAACAGAATATTTCGAGATAGATAACGCTTTTGATTTTTTTAAAGAGGCTACTCGGGAACGCCACTGACTCCATTTTTTTTAATGATCCTGCATCAATTTCTAAACTATTGAATATGCTGTTAACCTTATTCCTCTCTCTCAGTATTTTTCGAAATATTGCCAACTAATTTCTCCCTAAGTATGTACGCTTTTCTAACTTAGGTTATTAAAATTTTTATTTGTTAAGAGACAATGTTACCCGAATGTTAACGTTTTGACATTACAATCTGTAAAAACGTTATAAAACAAAAAGCATACGTGCTTTATTTCAACTTGTGCTTTCCTTACCACGTAATCTATAATTTCGTACTCTACACTTTCGAAAATTTTACAATTTCATTGGTTAAAATTCTATACTGTGTAGCGCACGCAGATAACCCCGAACATGTATAATCATAGAATCGTGACATCAACATAGACGAGATCATTATGAACGACCAGAATCACCTTTATCTGTGAGACTAATTCTTTCGTTCTGACGTCATTCGTCTTTGAAAGAAAAGACAAGATAAGTGACCAGAATACGGCCCTAGTATTTCTACGTGATTTTGAATGTCACTAGAATGGTCTAAAAGAATTTGATTGATATATTTGAATTTTATTTGTTACTCAGTAGCATTGAAAGACATTTATAACAATTTATAACAAAATACAATATTTACAAATAAATTATTTTTCTTATTATTTCAAAATTTATTTATATAATTTGCTTGAAATATACACTCGCTTCATCCATTGTTTGTAACTCTAAAACATACTTAAGCTTAATCAAAGCAGCCTTAAAACAGCCGAACAATCAACAATTTATAATAAAATTAACCAAAGTTTTAGAATAATTAACAATCATTTAAATGTATGCCAATGAATTTAAAAATACAAAATGACTTCATTATCAAAATTATGAACATAATTATAATTTTAACAATATATTTTTAAAGGCAAATCGATTTAAAAAATGGTAACTACATTTTATTATAATTTAAAATAACAAGTTTTTTGTTTTGTATAATTGTATATATATAGAATTATATTTTATATAAATATTATATTCTGTAAAATATTATATTATATTTTATATAAATATTCTACATATGTAAATATATAGAATTATATTTTATATATAGTAAAACATGCAAAAGCCGGAACTCGACGGGACTGTTTTCTTTTTTCCATGTCTCGCAGGTTTTCTCCCATTAATGAGNTTTATTTTTTATTGAAGGTCACAACTTGAATATTTCTAACACATTGACTTTTATTTTAGCTCAGCGTTTCTCAAAGTAAGCAATAACGCCCCCTTCTGGCGCGATGAATAGATCTATGATAGAGGCAGGGTATTGAACGGTGACCAAAGGCAAAATTGGGGCTGATAAGAGGAAACATTGCGTTTAATGGTTTCCAGATGATGAGAACAATGTACAGTAAGGGCACAAAGTGTGAGATTCATAGAAAAGTTTTCCTAAGAATATTTCCAATCCTTTTCTCACACAAGAGAAAATGGGTTAGGGGGCGTTGGGTATAACTTTATGGAACAAAGCGGGCGGTGGATCGAAAAAGTTTGAGAATCTTGAGACAGTGGCGTACCGTGGCCGCCCGGAGCGGAGGAAAATTTCGGCCCCCTTATTTAGGTATTTCAATTTAAAAGACCAAAATTCAGTTTTGTCACAGAACAAGCAATGAAAAATTCGGTGTTAGTGCAGCGACCTGTTTAAAATAGTTGGACATTAGTAGTGTATATGAACGCGAATGAATCGTAGAAGAAAAAAAAAGGTCAACAGGTTTCGCAGGATTTCCTCGGATGAAAAAATTACTAGTTCACCCGGACGGCGAGCCGATTCCCGGACCATCCGGACGATAGCACTGTCGTAGGCGCGATGCAATTATACATTAGGATGTTTCAAATTTTTACAAGATATTATTATTATTTATTGTGAAATTTTGCCGCCTCCTAAAAGGTGGGCGCGGCAGGGCGGGCCTCCCCTGCCGCCCCCTATGGTACGCCACTGCGTTTAGATTGAAGTGCCTCAATGCAATAAGAGCACAATACACCAAGAAGAACTCTAATCTGGCCAATATGACTTTGCTTTTACAGTAACACATTTTCGGGTGTCATCTTACATATGGACTACCCTTTTTTCTCTTATTTCATAAAATACGGCTTGGTTTCGAGATTGCAAGATTAGGCTACGAGTTGCAGATTGATATATTCGTAGGGCTCTAGGCATCAATCCCCATAATATACAAATCTCCTTGTAAAATTTCAAGTTTTCAAATTTCAAGTTTTAGGAGTTATTAAACTTCAAACAGGGTGAACAAAATCGTGCCTAACGTCACACACACACACTAACATCCATATATACAGAAAATAAAAATCCGAATTTTTTTTTTTACATTTCTTGACGTTTCAAGGTCCCCTGAGTCCAAAAATTAAAAATCTTAGGTAGGGTCATTTTTGCCGGATCGCCATACTTTCCGTTATATACAGTATAATAGAGCCGAGAAAGTAAAAAATTGTAAATGAAATAATTAATCTAATTTATAATTAATTATTCTTTAAATTACTTACATATTTGTATAGGTTTTATAAATAACTTATTACTAATAAGTTTTAATAGATGTAAATTGCCTTGGGAATTTTTTAGGTATGAGGTATCATATTTCGTAATATATATAACAATGTTTGAAGGCGTTATCAAGAAATATCGAAGACAAACGGCATTCAATTTAATTATTAAAAATAATGAGATCAAGTACGTCAACTAACTAAACACGATTATTTTATTCTGTAGGAATAATACAATATTTCATAAAAGTCAATGAAAAAATATAAGTCATTGATAAAAAATTTAATACTATGACTTATAAAAAAGAATATTTATCTCATTGCTTTTCATTTAATTCTGTAAACTTATATATAATTTTTCTATTATAATATACTATGGTCAGACCAAAAAAGTATATTCATATCTCATATAATCTGATTAAATTCGATAAACATATTTCAGAAATATATTCTTCTATCTAAAAAACATTTTATGTGAATAGATTTAAAACTTTAAAAATATAGTTATAATTATCATGTGTTTTAATATTTTGAATTGTAGTACTTGTCGGAAGTGTATCATAATCTTATCATTATTTACATTTTGGGAATGAAGAACGAAGAGTATGCTAAATGAAAAACAATGTTTCTTTAATTTTAATTAGAATACTGAATAACATTTGTCATTTTTGCTTAAATGTACAGAAAATCCTCGTTAATTCGAACTTGGATAGTTCGAAATCTTGTTAATTCGTAACTGTACTTTTGTCCCGGCCGGAGATATAGAGATTTCAGGGGGCAGTAGAAGGCTCAAAGAGAATTGGGGGGCGTTAAGGAAATATAGAGGGGCGACAGCAGACAAATTCTATATATAAAAATTCGACGGAATATATATAAAATGTTGACATTTTATATATTTTTTATTTTTTATTGAAGGTCACAACTTGAATATTTCTAACACATTGACTTTTATTTTAGCTCAGCGTTTCTCAAAGTAAGCAATAACGCCCCCTTCTGGCGCGATGAATAGATCTATGATAGAGGCAGGGTATTGAACGGTGACCAAAGGCAAAATTGGGGCTGATAAGAGGAAACATTGCGTTTAATGGTTTCCAGATGATGAGAACAATGTACAGTAAGGGCACAAAGTGTGAGATTCATAGAAAAGTTTTCCTAAGAATATTTCCAATCCTTTTCTCACACAAGAGAAAATGGGTTAGGGGGCGTTGGGTATAACTTTATGGAACAAAGGGGGCGGTGGATCGAAAAAGTTTGAGAATCTTGAGACAGTGGCGTACCGTGGCCGCCCGGAGCGGAGGAAAATTTCGGCCCCCTTATTTAGGTATTTCAATTTAAAAGACCAAAATTCACTTTTGTCACAGAACAAGCAATGAAAAATTCGGTGTTAGTGCAGCGACCTGTTTAAAATAGTTGGACATTAGTAGTGTATATGAACGCGAATGAATCGTAGAAGAAAAAAAAAAGGTCAACAGGTTTCGCAGG